AATATTTTTATAGGGAATTTTGGGAAATTTTAATTGGATTTTCTGGATTTTTTGGTGGAATTTTAATGGAATTTTTATGGGGAATTTCTTGGAACTTAAATTGGATTTTTTGGGGAAATTTTGTGGAATTTTTATGGAATTTTAGAGGATTTAATTTTTTTTTTCCCCCTGTTTTTCAATTGGATTATTTTTGGGATTTTTGGGGTTTTAATGACATTTTTTTAAGGGATTTTAAATGGAATTTTTGGGAATTTTTTTGGGGAATTTCCCCCAAAATTTTTAATTGAATTTGCCTGGAAATTTTGAGGAATTTTTGGAGGAAATTTTATTGATTTTTATGGAATTTTAAGGAACTTTTCCATCATTTTTTCCCTTTTTTTTCCCCCCACATTTCACTTTAAAAAGTTCAGAATTTTGGGGAATTCTCAGGAGATTTTTTTCAGTTTTTGGTAGAAATTTTATGGAATTTTATCTCTTTTTTCCCTGGATTTTTTGCAATTTTTTGGGGAATTTTTGGAATTTTATAGGAGGAATTTTTGAGATTTTTTCCATTTTTTTTCCTGGATTTTATTTCCAAGTTTTTGGAATTTTGGGGAATTTTTAGGGGGAATTTTTGAGAATTTTTTTTCCTTTTTTCTTGGTTTTTATTTCAAAATTTTTGGGTTTTTCTGGGAATTTTCAAGGGAAATTTTTGAGATTTTTTTCTGCTTTTTTCTGGGCTTTATTTCCAAATTTTTGGAATTTTTGGGGAATTTTAAAAGGAATTTTTTGGATTTTTTTTTCCCTTTTTTTACTGGATTTTGTTTCAAAATTTTGGGAATTTTTAGGGGAAATTTTGGGAATTTTTTTCCATTTATTTTCAGGATTTTGTTTCCAAATTTTGAAAATTTTTGGAAATATTTAGGGGGTATTTTGGGATTTTCTTTTTTCATTTTCATTCTTCCCCAATTTCTGAAATTTTTGGGAATTTTTGGAGTGAATTTTCCAGAACTTTCCCCTCTTTTTTTCCTCAAATTAATTCCAAATTTTCCAGATTTTTTTTTTAATTTTTAAGAGAATTTTTGGGGTTTTTTTCCTGGATTTTGGTCCCTGATATTTGAAATTTTTGGGAATTTTTAAAGTGAATTTTCCCGATTTTTTCCCCTTTTTTTCCTGGAATTTATTCCAAATTTCCCAGAATTTTTGGAATTTTAAATGGAATTTTTTTCCATTTATTTCCTGGATTTTCTTCCCCAATTTCTGAAATTTTTGGGAATTTTTGGAGTGAATTTTCCCAATTTTTCCCCTTTTTTTCCTCAAATTTATTCCAAATTTCCCAGAATTTCTGGCATTTTAAATGGAATTTTTTTAGATTTTTTTCCATTTTTTTCCTGGGTTTTCTTCCCCAATTTCTGAAATTTTTGGGAAATTTTGGGGTGAATTTTCCCAATTTTTTCCCCTTTTTTTCCTCAAATTTATTCCAAATTTCCCAGAATTTCTGGAATTTTAAATGGAATTTTTT